GAAGATAGAAGAGTTTGTTGAATCTGACGTGACATGTTCGTACGAACCCTTTGTACGAACAAAAGTAAGAGAAATTTAGGATAAAAATACGAACATGTTCTTGCACGAGGCCCATTGCTCTCAGTTTGTTTACTTACACTGTAAGATTCACTGTCTTCTCCCAGTGTTTTAATGAATCCTTCATATCTACAGTTTATCATGGAATGCTGAGGGGGTTCCCAGGAGAACTGTTGCTTGAAGTCATTCTTCCACACCAGGGACAAACTTTGTGGTGGCAGGACATCGCCTTAATGTGAGGACAGACAAAAGACAGGAGTAGCTGTGGTTAATCACTGCCATTTGTTTTTTCTTTGACTTAAAGAAGACAGTTCCAGTTTGACAGAGGACAGCAAAGGTGTGTTGCATGAAGAAATACTTCAGATTAAACCAATAAACAGCAGAGACAGGGGCAAAAAAAACTGCTCCAAAAATAAACTACAACCCCTCCTCAAAGTCTGAACGCATCAGTGCGTAGATAGTTTTTAGTTTTGGTTTTTGTTTGTTTTGTTTTTTGGTGGCTAACACGTTGAAAAATTCCATTAAAACTCCCACGTACGCCACTTCTACTGAAACGCGATATGATTGGCGACACGTGACGTCACTACTGGGAAACAGTTCAGGCAGACCGGGAAAAGTTGACAAAAAACACGTAAAAAGTACTTTTCACCGGTTAAATTTTTATCTCACCTGTTGTGGACCGAACCGTTAGATACAGACAGCTGAGAAGAACCAACTTCAACATCTGAATCATTTCTTTTTATCCTGAAGGACGCACTTTCCTCTCTTCTGCTTCTTCTTCCTCACAGGACTCAGCTTTTCCTCTTCTTCCTCCTCACAGTGGCCTGGTGTGAAGAGAAATAAAAGATAAATAAAATGTCCTTCTTGTGTCCAGTTTGGCCGTCCTCATAAGTTTACTTTCGCTTCCAGCTTCTTGAGAGAGGGCAGCCGTGAGGAAAGGTGGAGGCTGGAAGTGGGCGGAGAGAGCTGCGTTTCTTCTTCTTCCCTTTTTATTTATTTATTTATTTTTTCCTTTTGGTCTCACAGGATACCAACAGGACTGTTAACAATGCCGGGCTTTCAGGAAACACTGGCTCAGACTTCACTTCACAAACCAAGTAAAACTAAATTCAGCGACACTAATTCTGACAAGTTAGGACTTTGAAATAAAATAAAGCAGAATGCAAATGATCAGCTGAGGTCTATAAAGTACTGGAAAAACAACAACTAAGTAAATGTAAAAATACCTTAACAGAAAATTGCTTTGGTAAAAAAAAAAAAAAAAAAAAAAAAAAAATTTCACTGATGAGAAAAGTACTTGAGTACTTTGAGTACACACACTCTAATAAACAGTGGTGGACAAAGTCAACTCTAGTACTTTGAGTAAAAGTATTGATACTCAGTGTCGAATCTACTCAACTACAAGTAAAAGTTACTCCGTCAAAAATCGACTCAAGTTCGAGTACTGAAGTACTTACTTTTGAAAATACTTAAGTATTCAAAAGTGCAAATTAAATTTTCTACTATCAGTACATTGCTGTATTGTTTTCAGAGTGATTTTACACAACCTTGTAGCTCTCAGAAACTACCTGATGTATCAACATATAGAATCACTGCTACAAATTCACCATTTGTAAAGACTTGAACATAAAAATGTAGTGATGAGTTCTTAAATGCAGAAATGTAGTTTATCCACGGTGAACACAGAAGATGTATACACTGATACAAAGTATTTTTCAGTCCTAACATCTCAAACAACGAGCTGAGATTGTCATAGTCTGTCATTTTATGTTTTGGTTTCCCTAGTGTTTCAGTGTTTTCCCTGTGTTCTCTGATTAATTCCCCACCCACGCACTCCTGCCTCTCCTTGTGACTTCCCCAGGTGTCTTGTATTTGTGATTATTAGTTTACCTTTATATTCAGCGTCCTGTGTTTCAGTCCTTGTCGGATCATTGTGCTGTATGCCTGTCTCATCGTTTCATGTCCCATGTTCTTAAGTTTTTGCCACGTCCCTCAAGTGAGTTTTTGCAGCTGCCTTGTCAGTGCCTTTTTGTTTAATAAAGACTTTTGTTTGTTTTTTTGCCATGCCTGTACTCTGCCTGTGCCCTGGGTCATTGCCATGTCAAAACCTGACAGAGATTTGGACATGGTCTCCATCGCTGTGTTCTGTTTGAAATGAAGGTGGGAGCTCAGCTCGCGAGTTAACAACGATGATGTAATTCCAAATTCATCCCAGGTGTGAGCTATGACTGTGTTTGGTTCCCCTTGTGAGGAACATGGCGTTTCAAGAAAAAAATGGCAACAGCTGATTACAAAGCTATACTAAACCAAAAGTAACAAGTAACTACAAGTGTCGTGATGCATCTCAGTATTCCAGGTAGAGTTTCAGCCTGTCTCAGCAACGCCAAACCACCACCTTCCAACATCAGTAGAGAAGAGAGAGACACTCTCACCACCCTCAGCAAGGACAAGAACATCATCATTCTTCCAGCAGACAAAGGAAGGTGCACAGTGCTATTGAACCAGAAAGACTACTATAAGAAGGTTATGACACGACCACATACGAACCACTAAAAAGAGATCCAGGAAGTGGTTACAAGAAGTTGATAGAGTGCCTGAAAAGGTTAGAGCATGACAAGGCTATTAACCGCATTCTGTACCACACACTGTACCCAGGTGAGGCCACTCCTAGTCTGTATGGTTTACCCAAAATTCACAAGCAGGATGTACCGGTAAGACCCATTGTTAGCATGATTACCTCTGCCACTTACAATGTTTACAAATATAGCATCTGTACTTGGTCCATTAGTTGGCATTTCAGATCATCACGTACAGAACACTATGGACTTTGTTGACAAGGTGAGGGATGTCATCATGGAGACGGATGAAACTATGGTCTCCTTTGATGTCACATCACTCTTTACGTGTGTTCTTGTTGACAAAGTGGTGGACGTGGTCTGTGTAAGATTAAAATCAGACACCACTCTCAGCAGCAGAACCACACTTTCCACAGAACAACTGTGCCAACTCCTCAAACTGTGCCTGGAATCAACCTATTTCACATATGGGGGGCAATATTATAGGCAGAAACATGGTGTTCTATGGGCTCCCCAGTTTCCCCTATTGTTGAAAACATGTACATGGAGGAAGTGAAAAAGAGAGCCTTGATGTCCTTTACAATGACACCACCGAGCCATTGGTTCATGTTGACGACAGCTGGGTTAAAATTAAAGCCCAGGAAGTCCAACATTTCACTGATCACATCAACTCTGTGGATGAATATGYTAAGTTCACACGAGAGGATGTAAAAAATGGCAGGTTGGCGTTCCTGGATTGCGATGTCTCGGTTTCGGATGGAGGACGGTTGGAAACTGATGTGTATCTCAAACCCACCCATACAGACCAGTATTTGCGTTTTGACTCCCACCACCCACTGGAACACAAGTTAGGAGTGATCAGGACTCTGTACCACAGAGCAGACAGTGTCCCTACAAACCCAGGAGCCAGGCAGAAAGAGAAGTCGCACACAAGACAGGCCCTGGAGCAGAGCGGTTATCCTAACTGGGCTTTTCTGAAAGCAGACAAGAAACCCAAACAGGATTCCAGCCAACAACCAGCTGAAAACTAAGATCCTAAACCCAAACCCAAACCAGTCATCATTCCATATGTGGTGGGAGTTTCAGAGAAACTGGGATGTTTATTCCATAACATGACATCCCAGTGGCTTTCAAACCCCAAAACACGTTACGACAAAGATTAGTTCATCCCAAAGATCCAGTTTCCCGGCAAAAACAGAGTAGTATATTATATGCTGTTAAGTGTCAGGGGGACTGTGATCAGTTATGCATTGGGGAAACAAAACAGCCACTGTTCAAAAGAATGAGCCAGCACAGACGAGCTACTTCGTCGGGTCAGGACTCTGCAGTTTACACTCATCTACAGGCCAGGACTCTGCAGTTTACACTCATCTACAGGCCAGTGGTCACTCTTTCAGGGATGAAGATGTTCTCATCCTTGATAGAGGAATGTTGGTTTGAGAGAGGAGTAAAGGAAGCCATCTTTGTGAAGAAAAACCATCCACCATTAAACAGAGGTGGAGGCCTTCGTGTCCAGTTGTCCTCCTCCTACAATGCTGTTATTGCAAGTATGACTCAGCCCCCTGTGAGCAAAATGTGTTAATCAGGGTCCCAACGATACCCAACACAAAGAGGGGAAAAAAGACAAAAACAAGGGGACGTTGAGCCCCGTCTGCATTCACTACATACACATGACATGACACCTAAGAACCACAGCATCCAAACCAATAAGTCAGGTGATGGGACACATGACCCTCTATGAACAATAGAGCTAATCAAGGCACTAATGACCTATTGTTTTGCTGATGGTCCTCTTTGTATGTGACCGACCTGTTTGTCCACCATGTGGAGGCAGTGCTTATAAGACTGAGTTCACCTGAAACTCATCAGACTGAAGAAGTCTCTTGAAGGAACGATGAAACGTTTCATTAAAGAAGAACCCATCCAGAGGACCTACTTATTTTTCTTTTTTAAGTAACTACAAGCTTTCTAGAAATATAGTGGAGTCAAAATTACAATAATTGTCTTGAAATGTAGTGGAGTGAAAGTCATAAGTACCCCCAAAAATTAATTACTCAAGTAAAGTAAACAGAGGTGTCAAAAGTATTCACATTCATTACTTAAGTAGAAGTGTTATACTAGCAGTGGTGGGCACAGCTCCCCTAAAGCACTAAAGCACTAATAGGGGAACTAATTTCTTGATTAGTGCTTTAGGGTTTTTGCTCATTTTAAAATTTATTAGTGGATTAACACTTGCTAAATTTATAGGCTAAATTTAGAAGCACTAACAGGTCTATAAATGTTATTGATCAATGTTGACTCCAAAAACATTGACTTGAACTGTAACCAGTTTGGCAGTATTTGTGTCCAAGCTTTAACTTCCTGGCTGATGTGTTGAGATGTTGCTTCCATATTTCCACATAACGTTCTTTCCTCATGCTACCATCTGTTTTGTGAACAGCACCAGTCCCTCCTGCAGCAAAACAAGCCCACAACATAATGCTGCCACCCCCGTGTTTCACAGTCAGGATGATGTTCTCAGGTCTGCAAGCTTCCTCCTTTATCCTCCAAACATAACAATGGTCATTATGGACAAACAGTTCAAACAGGACATGTCTCCAAAAATGAAGGTCTTTGTCCCTGTGTGCATTTGCAAACATTAGTCTGCCTTTTTTATGTTTCTTTTAAAGTAAAATCTTCTTCCTGGCAGAGTAGCCTTTCAGCCCATGTGGACACAGAACTGGTTTCTCTGCAGAGCTCTCTATAAAGTACTTGAAAAACATAACTAAGTAAAAGTAAAAATACATGAACAGAAAATGACTGATGAGAAAACTACTCAAGTAAAAGTCATAAAACTGTTCATCAAAATAGGGAAAGTAAATGTACTTTTACACACTCCCTAAGAAGTAAACCGTTGAATTTACTGAACCAAACTGGTTCCACTAAGCCAGGTTGAGTAAATTGAGCAATATATTTATATTTTTTGCTCAATTTACTCGATTAGGCTTAGTGAAACCAGCTGACATGACTTTGTTGAGTAAATTCAACACTTTATTTTTTAGAGTGCAGAAACATCTTCTTTCATGATGAGTTCAGATTTAATTTTGTAATGAGTAATTAGGTGTTACATTTTAAAGTAAAGAAGTAAAAGTATCCTTTTTAGCTTTAAAATGTAATGAAATAAAAGTAAAGTAGCAATTTTTTTTTGTAAAATTACAAATCCTCAAAAAAACCTACATAAAGTGCCTGTGACATGCCTATCCTTCAAACACAATAAGTCAAAGAAAGCATCTTTACTTAAGAAAACTGGTATAGTACACAATTTTACCCATTTTGTCACATAACTGGCCTGTTTTCTTTTCAATTTGGCTCAGCCAAAGTGAAACAGGAAGTGACATCAAAAGGGACTCTAATAAAATAAACTCGCTGGTTTCTGTTTATTAAAACAAAATTATTTAAACTTTAACTTTTCTTCGTCTCTCTTTGACAGTGAATAAAAATAATATAAAGAAACATCAGACTYTTCTCTACAGTCTGTGTTGTTAGCTGTTGTAACAATGCTCTGTTTACATGCTGCTGACATTGCCTTTTGACATCACTTCCTGTTTCTTCACATGGAAAAGTCTCAACAACTGTTCATCTCAGTGACAAGAGATTTGTTTTGCAACATATTATCAATGTTATCTTTCCAAAAATGCATTGTTTGTCACCAAAATTTGATGTCACAGGCATTTTAAGTACTCTAACAAAGTAAATGTACTTAGTCACTATAAACCTTCATTTCTCTGTGGATAATGACTCTTACCAGATTCAGCAGCATCTTCACCAGCTCTTTGTCTTTTGTTCCTGGGTTCAGAAGCTTCCAAAGACATGACAGCAAATGTCCCAAATAGTTTGAAGACATGGTGCATTTAAACTTTTGACTTTTTGAAGAAAAAAATTGCCTTAAAAATTCTCTCTCTCTCGTATTTCTGGCATTTAGCAAATAGAAACAAAATCTGGTAATCCTAACTGACCTAAAACGGGAAAGTTTTATTCTGATTTTACATCACAATGTAAAAGAAAATGCATGTGTGTCTTTTAATACGGTGTATGTAAACTTCTGGTTTTAACTATTAACTTATATTTATTAAATAAGGAAGACAGAAGGAAATATGGGAAAAAATAGAAAAAACAAAAGAAGGGTATAAGGAGTATTTTGGCTGAAAAGATGTGGATCAGAGTATTTTCACTGTTTTGCTCTTTGTTGACATTTTGAACCAAATGTTAACTAAGTGTTTGACACAAGCCCACACTACACAGATTGTGCGTTGTGTTAGAGGATAACTCACAGTGAGAAGATACTGCTCTGCTGAGTTGTAAACTAAAAACAACAACACACACACACACTTTCTCTTCTTTGTAAAAACCACTGCCAGACCAAAGTTACCAAATCTCATGAAGCAGACGTAAACAGAATTAGAATGATTTTTAAAAGAACAAAAAAAAAAATGCAAACAATGGTGTTGAGATGTTTTGAATTCAGATGCTCTGAATGATAAGACGATTACATAAAAGCAGCAGACAGAGTGAACACACAGCTTTGTAAACCTTTAATGTATTTTCAGACATTTACACGGCTCTCGTCCCCATTTTCCTTTCAAAAAGTTCATACACGGTTCGAAAAGGTGTCGTAACACAACTTGTGTTTTCAATAAAATTCGTAATAAAATCCTTGTTTTCATAAACGTATGAAAAATTGCAGAGGTCATCAGAGTTGGCAAGCATCCAGACACAAACTGAGTGTCTCAGCTGAGGCAACGACTCCAGGTTGTGGTTCAGGGTAGGAAACCATGATAAAAAGCAGAGTTAATGCCATCAGCCTGTGTGGAGGCTAAAACATGGGTGGAGGTCAGCAGCTCGTACAGCCAGAGGATCGCCTGCTGCCTTCTGAATGGTTGCCATATCTGCGTGTGATTCATACAAAACGAGGGTCTGGCTTCAGACGTTTGCACAGTGTTAGCAGCTGGTAAAAAAACTCGCTTTTTGCTGACATTTATTGGTCAAAGTGTACAGCACTGGTGTCCCACAGGTCCACAGATGGGTCTATGAGACGGAGTGAAGTTTCTCTGTAAGAATCTCAAAGTCCAAGTCTAGCTGCCTTGCAGAAATTTGTGTGAGCAGGTCCTGATCGCTAACGTGGCTCATCATTTTTAAGCAGTTCAACAGTGGGAGTCTGCGTCTGCTCCACATCCGGCGTGTACACCATGTCCTTCTGGTTCTGAGAAACAAAACAGTATTAATGAATAAGGGTCAGGGAGGTGAGGAGATAGCAGGGCCAGTTTTAAATAGGATTTCCTTACAATTAATCGGCCCAGCACGTCCTTAAATTCCGAAGGGTCTTGCCAGTTCTGACAGAATATGCTGCTGTTCCTGCAAAGAGTTGCAGATAAAAAACACAACTCAGTACAAACAGCAACAATGAACACGGCTTTTCATGAGCTACAGTTTAAAAAGGCTCAGCAAACATAGTGGTTTTCAGCTACAGCACTGACCGCTCCACCTGCCACACCCGTCAACGCCTGGTGCGTCAATAAGAGACGTGAAGGGGTACCCAACGTGTCAAAATAAGAGACGTGAAGGGGTACCCAACGTGTCAAAATAAGAGACGTGAAGGGGTACCCAACGTGTCAAAATAAGAGACGTGAAGGTGTACCCAACATGTCAAAATAAGAGACGTGAAGGGGTACCCAACATGTCAAAATAAGAGACGTGAAGGGGTACCCAACGTGTCAAAATAAGAGACGTGAAGGGGTACCCAACGTGTCAAAATAAGATGCAGAAGGAACTTTGAAAAAGCATCAATATGTGACGAGTTGGGAGTGAGAACGTGTTATGTTGGGAGATCCAGATGCTGAATAATCACTTTGAACTAGTGCTTTTGTGAAAGTCGGCACATTTTATGCCATGTCATCTCCTCGACAACTAGATTTTTGGTGGACACACGTCTAGTTTTTCTGTTATGTCAGTTAATTTCCAGCTGACTTCATCTAACTGTCTTGGTGGTTTTGTAACTTTTAAAAAACAAAACCTGTATTGCACAGAAGTGACACATCATCATCTACAGAATAGAGATGTACAGAGTTGTATTGCTTGATACAGTGCCTGTGACATTAAATTTAAGTGATATATTTGATTGCATATTTGGAAAGATAACATTAATGATGAATTACAAACAAAAATTCACAACACTGAGATGAACAGATGTTGAGATATTGACATGAGCAGAAACAGGAAGTGATGTCAAAGGGGAATGCCTGAATGAGTTGTTACAGCAGCTAACAGACTGCAGAGAATCGGATGTTTCTGTAGATTATTTGGACTCATTATCAGGTAAAGAAGAGTCAGATTTATAAAGACCAGGAAGTTACCCTTTTTTTTAAAGAGTTCCCCTTTGACATCACTTCCTGTTTCACTTGGACTGCACCAAAATTAGCAAAAAAGTCTTAGCCAGGCTAGGCTACTGGCTAAACAATTGAGTCCCAGTTTTTATCCCTTTTCTAATTGTGCTGATTTTCAGCATTTCCTTTTCATTTTATTTTTAAGAGCCCTTGTGTCCCTTTGAGTCAGAAATACAAGATTATCTTGAGATGAACGTACATTTCCTCACAACTTTCTGTTTTCAGGCTCTTAGGTGTCTCTTTCAACAATGACTTTGTTTTATACATGTCTGAAACGATGAACACGTTTGATTTGAATTGGAACCTAAAGCAACAGACTGATGTGATCAGATTCATCACGTACCTGTGGAAGCAGTAGCAGGACAGCGTGATGCAGAGAAAGAGAAGAATGGGGATGATGATGGCCACCACAGTAGACACTCTGACACAAGGCTTTGCTTCACCTAGGATCAACAGGACACACACGTTAGTTGGTTGAAACTATTTTTAAATCCAACTTAAAATCTGAACTCTAAGACAGCTTAGATATTCACAGTCAGCCTGTTTGATCAAATCAAGTAAGACTAAAAAGCTTCATGGCACAAAGGCAATGTTAGCTTGTTCACATAACCTTTTATTTTACAACTGTCTGTTAACAATGAGCTACTGAATGGATTATAATGAAACTTTCAGGAAATGTTCACTGGATATCCATCTGGACCTGATTTAAAGCTGGGTTACAGTTGCACTTTGGGTACTCGCCCTCGCCAGCAGGGGGAGGTGTTTATACCTGACACTATGTTGTAGTATTCTCCAAAAGGACATGTGGCAGAACACTTCATAACTTAGGAAATGATGTAAATAGGAGAGCAAACGTTTGACAGACAAACAAACTATTTGAATGCTGTGCAACGCAGTCTTACAAATACAAAGAAAAAAGCCTTACAAAAATTAAGAGGTGCATGACCATGTGCTGGGACACCAAGCGGGGGCAGGGACGGCCCCATTACATAATTATTGGTGCACGCCCAGTGTGACGCGTCTGTGGCTGTCCGATCTGTCCAGGAAGCACGATCCGTACTGTCAGCTCATTTGCACATGCGCTAAATCAGATAATTCTGAAATACGCTCGATTTAAGAAAAAATACTGAAAATAATTATTTCCATACTTAATTATAAAGGTGTGTTCAATTATATTCTGAGAGTAGTTTTAATATTGTATACATTTTGATGAATAAAATATGGATTTACGATGTGTACAAATTTATTTATAATAACTTGCAGACTATTTTCTAGACAATCATGTTATAATTTAATTTTTCTGCATTAAATTTTGTCCAGCTGTTGCAAACGTTGCCTTGTCTATGAAACATTGCAGGTGATGAAAGACTGAAATTGAATGGATTCTGTCATCAGGTTAGCGAAATGCTACATGCTAAAAACAAAAAGTACGGATTATGCTTCGACAGCGTCAACTATAAACCTAGCTTAACTTTTGGAGTCAGCCCATTCTCAGATGGCCATCAAAGCCTGCTGAACTTAGAAAACACAAAATTGTCTATAATTTAGTCAGTTTTACAGATATTGAGCTAAAACGTGATGTGGAAGTAGCTGAGAGTAGCTTGTTTAAAATTTTGTTATTGACTTTTAAGAGTCATCTGTGTCAGCAACACCATACCTCATGAACCATAGGTTTTAATGAAAYGTTTAGAAATGTACATCAACAACTGAATAACTTTTGTAATTACCCCAATTCCAAATGACCACCACAGCTAATCAGCATTAGTCAACACAAAAATGACTACAATTCTGACAAATTAACAAAAACACTGAGTTTAAGCTTGATCTGGTAGTAGTGGGTAGTAGCTAAACGCCATCCTCAAAATATTCTTTAAGTTCTGACACACTTAGCTGCATCATAAGGCCAATTTAAGTTTTTGTTAAAACATTACAAAACCATCTCTTCTTACAGTAAGTTTGTTTGTTTTAAAACCTGTTAAAAAAAAGCTTCAGACAAAGGTAGAATAATAATAGTTAAATCCCCGAACGAGCCCAGAAAATCTTTGGGTAAACAAAATTTACACAGCAGCAAGAACAATCTGCATATCTGTCAGAATCATCCTCTCCAGCTCCAAAACAACAAATCAAGCTTTAGACTTTACTTATATGTCAATTAGCTTGCTATTATAAACTTTTTATTTTAATTTTTACCAAGTAGCAACTAGGATGTACAGTATATGACTGCTGATCTTCTGTTGATAAGTGGGACTATCTGGATTAAACTACTGGTTCAGAGGCCTTTCACAAACCTRGTATTCAGTTTGAAGTTATCACAAAGATGAGAAAGAAAGAATAAACCTGTTGAGGCTTGTTCACCTGGGAGACTCATGTTTATTACTCATGTTTGTTTGCAGTTATGAGATAGGACAGGACATAGGACCTGCATTCATCACCTCCCTGTCAGCAGTGACTGCAATCGCTAGCAGCTCTAACAGAGTCTCATTGAGGCAGAAATATGTCTGCCTTGTTGACACATTCTGCTGGTTTTATTCCAGTAATACAGTCATTACTAACACTACACCTTGTGTGACCCTGTTTAATGCAAGAACAGTGGCTGCAGTGCATGCAAATGCTATTTTACCCTGACAAATTTTGCACTCTCTACAGGAAACACTACAGTGTGCTACTGCTAACAATAATGGTGATCCAAAATTCATGTAAATAACAACGCAGTGTGAAACTGCTGGTGGTGTGAAGGTTTATGAAACAGACRTTTCATGAACCACTGTAACATTTTAAAGGCTGGAGCCACATGGCTGTGTCAGGACTATCCATTAGCCCGTCATATGTTGGTTTACTGTGTTCCCTTGACCTCGGATGTCAGAACTGGGATCTGGGACCTTTTATCCAACTTAACTGCAAGTTGGATAACTCGCAGGGTTAGCTAACTGTGCTGAAATAAGCTAACTACTACTAGCATAGCAAAGTAATAACAATGCACTTGTCTGTCTCACTTTAAAAAGTCTAAAATACACCTTTAGCCATTTGTTAGACTATTTTCACTACTCAGTTGTAAGAGAATTTAGGTTTAGGCTGACTGAATACAAACTTTTTACAGCAGGGTTGTCATTTGACTGTCTGCTGTATTAAATTTCATACTTATTTTCCTAAGCACACGCATACCGTGTGCTCACATAATGTAGGATCACATTTATCTTGGAAAATTACAGCCACCTGAACAAGAGAGTAGCTAGCCTGTTGGAACAGATTTTCAACCATTATTTTGGTTCACAAAAGGCAGGCAAGCAACAAGCTTTGAAAACAAATGTGTTGTCAAAAGTACTGTGAAGTGGAATGTAGAAAACTGACACTTCATAATGCCACACTGATGAGTTCAGCTGATTACATTAGAGTTTGCACCCAGTTTCTGTCTGTTCCTATCAAATATCAGACACGTGTAAGAAAGTCATACTGCTGTATTTGCATTAGGATCTAACATGCAAACCTGGGTACTTCAACACAAAAGGGACTTAATGAAGTCTACTTATTTGGTCTCTGATGGGTCTGCTCTGATAACAGACAGGTGAGAAATGAGAAATGAGAAGGTGTCTTTAGGATGACGTCGTCTGTCATGACCTTCTAAGCTCCAATGCCACAATTATTCAAAAAGAAAGGAAAAAAAGGCTGTGCGTGGCAACAAGTGGTTTGTTTCTTGAACGCACTTCCAACTTAAC